CGACCGACAAGTGTTCCCCCTCGAAGTCAAGACGTTTTCAACTGTGATAATATTTTGTTCGCCAACTCCCAGGCGATGGTTCACATTGATTTAAATATACATATTATATCGACTAAATAATATTAGTAAAAAAGCGCCTAAAAATTCCCTATTAACACACACATAATAATATACATTATATTAAAAATATATGGTAATAATATACACTAATTTTTGTATAAAATATATTTTTGACTAATAAAACCAACAACCGAATAATTCATACCAAATCATTTTAAGCATACCGAATATAGCTGTATCAATTTAAATAATATCAGGTATATTATAATATATTGTGTGCGGTCTGTTTTAAGGAGTTTTGTATAGGCAATATTTAAGAGGATCGGAAAGCGCTATTTATCAAGGGGCAAAGGATAGGCAATAATGGACAAAAAGCAAATCTAGTAGCCATTTTTAATATGCGCACTAAGTGAACAGATATTAAGATTTTTTCTAGTTATAATACTTTTAAAGTTAATTTTTCTCCATAGGTTACCATACGATTTATTATATTTTTGTTTATGTAAACATTGGAAACCAAATCGCACATTATTCAGGAAAGAAATTTCAATCTACGAGCCATACACAACCTGTAAAATAATAATTGAAAAACCCATCAGTTACTTATGTCCGCTTCTGTTCAATTTCTTTTTTATAAAAATCTACCTTAGGCGCACTACATTTATTAGTAGCAACCCAGAAATTTGTCCTTTGTTAGCCAAGGACAATTGTAGCAAACAAAATGCTGGCAATCGCATCAGGTCGGGTTAGGCTATTAAAATACTATTCACCCTTTACTCAAAAATGCTAAAAGTACAGTTGTTAAGCACATAATATTGTAATATTGCAAGTGCCGTGTCTATTATGTAAGAGGTATGCATAAGTTTTTTGTAAATTTTTTTTTTTTTTGGCACAATTTAGTATGCAAGCAATTCGGTCGAAATACATTAAGTCTACAAGTATATAAGTTTTAAGTTATAACTTCCATAAGTCGGGACGCGTGTGAAGGTTAAGAACTGTTGTCTTAGGTGTATACATTCGACGTTTAATTTTTTCACACGCGCAAAAAACCAAAAACACACACTGTTGTTGTGCTGTTCATATAAAGACAAACAATTCGATAAAAATATATACCTACATGTTTTTTCTCGAGTATTGTAAATTGTTTTAAAACATACATTTTACCCGAAAAATACATAATATAATGATTTCTGATTAGCAGCTGAATGAGATTACAAACTTAAAAATACATCATCGTTAAAAATTAAAATTGTTCTCCACCCACAAAAATGTCAACAGATTAAAACCTAATATTGTAGCAGTTTTCATACAAATGTTTAATTTAAGTATAACCGTATTTACATTTTCAGTTAAAACTAATAGGAACGGTTTAAGGTTACTAAAACAAAAAAAAAAGCCAGTACAGCGGGGTCGGGGCATAGTGGGGACGGAGAGGTCACAGGTCTACAGATTTTATTATAACTGAAAGTGATATCACTTTTAAATAAACGCTTCGATGCGAATCTGTGGATAGTATGATCAAACTAGTTTAGAAACTAGGTTAGTGGTTTAGAAGATATCGTGGGACCAGCAATAATGTACTTAAAATTTAATATTTAGTCTTATGCAGGGTGGATACGATAAGGGTTGATCGTCTGTCTATAAAAATGTATTGCCATAGTTACCCATATATAACGTAATTAACAATATAATAAAAATATTTTCATTACCTGTTGACCGTTGATTTACTCATGCACATAGCAACCTAGAAACTGACTACGGCCAAAGTGTAAATTTACCCTATTTTTGGGGTTTTTCCTTAATAAAAGAAAATGTTGACTACGGATTTTTGAGAAAATTGTATATGTTATAGTTCCACTTTAGATCTACCTTTGGTCTAATTTTCAGATCTAAATCTTTAAAACTTTGCTTGGAAAAGTGAAAGAAAGAAAAAAATTCTAGCCCTTCTAAGGGAAAGGGTTTATGATGTTTTTTTGGTTTGTTAATGTTTATCGATAGTACTATGTTTGAAGAACAATTCATATAAATTTGGAACATTTTCGACTATTTTTAAAAAAGTTATAGAGCATCGTAATTTTAAGTTGAAAAATTTGTAAATTTGTTGGGTGTTTTTCTCGATTTTGATGGGGTGACTTTTTTAAATTTTTGGCCCGATAAGTACCTTGCAGGTATGATTTCTGATCTATAGACTTGCTACACGAAGAAATCGGTTCAGCGGTTTACGAGATATCGTGTGGGCCAGACACAAAAATAGAAAATAAAAACACATCATTGTAAAAACAATACCTTCTCAGTTTCCGCATCGAAGCTAAAAACTCTTAAAATATTACTTTTAATTTATTTAATTTGTCACGTTTATATGGTTTTTTGATATTTCGTTATTTTAATTTAAAAAAAAATACTCTTTATTTTCAGCATAGATTTTTTTTTTCATAGTTTTTATTGTTAAGTAGATTTTGGGATTAATATCTTACCCATAAATACTATTATACTAATGTGCCAAAATAGAGAACAATAGTTGTTTAAAAAAGAAAACTATTTTGTTTACAATTAACCTGTTTGATTTTAATGTTATTTTTAGTGTGTTTTTGTTATATAAACCCCTTTTTTTCTCAATACTTCAATATTAGGTATAAATGGATAAATTTACATTTATTGATCAATGCAAACAGCACAATGCAGATAAATGTATTATCAATTTTTATGTTTATGAAATAAATAATTTCCATTCGCCTTATTTGATTACAGCCATTCCAATAACCCTAAAATAAATACTATTTGAATTTTTTTATCAGGGACTTTGTATAAATTATGCGTTGAATATAAAATCAGAAATAAAGATGGTATATGCAATCACAACCGAGTGCTGAAGTAGAAAAATACTGTGCACGTGTATTGTTCAAATATAATAAAGTTTTTGTACTTAACGCAAAACATATTATTACTGCTACTCGTGTACGAAATCGATTTGGAAAAAAAGCAACAGACATATTATTATAATATTGTCTACACATTTTTTAAAAGCCATACCATATTATCCGATTGGAATAAATGACGTACCTAAAAAAAAATATGCATAACGTTCAAAAGTAAAAATTAAATAATTAAAAAAAATAGCGGCTCTTGTCGTTACAATGATTTATCAAGCTAACTCCTAAAAAAGGAGGCATTTTTTTTGTAAACTATATTACTGAATCATAAAAAAAATAAATATTTTGCTTAATTTTCCTTTGTATAACATAATATTGACATTTACTAAACATAATAAAAAAACAAAAACGAAATTATTGTACTTAATCAATTTTCAGTACCTATTGGTGGGCAACAACAACACCAAATAGGCTAATATTCTAATTATTAAGGTGACTAGTGTGTAATGGGTGGTAGATTTAAATTATTATCTACTGACAATAATAAATGTGTTTAGTTTGAATTTCAGACTATCAAATCTAACGAAATGAGTCTTGTTTTAAATATTGACCTTTATACCAAATTGATAAACTGTAGAAATTGTTTTTTTCTAATTAACCATTAAACGAATTGAGATTGAAAATTCCCAGGGACAGAGGCCTCTCAGTCTAAGTACAATCTAAGCTGTTATACATAAGCAGACAAATATATTGTTCAAATAATAATAACATGTTTTCATGTCAAACTAAAAAAAATATGTAGGTTTCTTACATTTCCCAGAATTTATCTGTTAAAAAAAAAACACACAAATATTATGTTACTATGTAAGTAAAATCGGTATTTTCACAAGAAAAAAATTATTTCATTATAATAAAATTATTCTGAAAATTATGAAAATATCATACAGGCGGTATGGTACAAAGATGATTTTATTAAACGAGTTGGTTATATTCCAAGTTTTGATAAGTCCATGTAGTGTAAGATAGGGTACAAGTAGTAAAACAGATATTACATTTTTTGAAAAGCCAACGTGTTCAAATTACATACGAGGTAGGCAAAATCGTTGTCTGTATTTCGGTACAAAGTTTTCTTTTTGAAATTTTCATATATTATTTTCTATGAACGCTCAAACAACATAAAATATTATTATAGCAGTCGAAAAAAAAATGTATTAAAAATATTTGTGTGCATAAAACCTTGGATAGTAGTATGAGTGATTCGTGAATTTGCCTACAAGTTTATTATTACATTGGTTTTTTTTTATAACAAAAAGAGAAAAATTGTAGGCGATTATTTTATACATTGCTAATTTTAGAATAAAAATGTATTTCAAACGAGTAACGAAAATTCGTACATTATATTCAAAAATTGATTTACAAAGGCCTAATAATGGGTTAAAATAAGCTAGCTCAGTGGATGAGAGAGACAAAAGCACAAACATTTTTCTTTAAGCTATTATAATTTTTTTTATGATATACCAAACCTAGCAACTCTAATCAGAACAAGGTTTTATCTTTAACCGAGTTTGCGAAATTATGGTCAAAATAAAGTGTTTTGTTGAAATAAAAATAAAAAACGTCAACTTAAGCTGTAAAAAAAATAATATGTTTTGTAGGACTACGAGGGTTCTTTTTTCAAAATATGGAATAAGTAATGACAATGCGCAATCGAGCTTTGCTCTGTCTTTAATATTTTATTTGGGAAATCAGTATTTTGTAAAAACAATACATACAATAACTTTTTCAGTTTTTTTCTTTTGTCGCCCTTTGCCAAAATATACTAATATGCAAATAAAAATGTTTTTCACCGATTCAAAGACAATTGTATAGGATTTCTGAACGATTCTACTTGATCCAATCAATACAGCAAAAAAAAAAATAAAGAGTTTACAGACAACATTCAAAACAGCAGTACTATTATATTAAAAACGTCAACTCAAGCTGTCTTATGCTTGTATTAAAAAAAATATATCTATATCAATACTAATACGCGTGCCAGCCTTCGACTGTCCCTATAAAACCGACTACTGTGCAGCATTAAAGCATATTCTTTTTGTTTAATTTTAAAGTTTTTCGAAGAAGAAACAATGAATACAAAGTACATAATATTTTTGTGTTTCCTAACGAGTTACTTAGTAATTCAAAGTGTTGCGAAACAGACCTCGGAAGAGAAAAAAAAAAGGACTGAGCTAGAGGAAGAGGTAATTGTATCTTTATGTTAAGCGCTACACAGTAAAAATCTTATAAATTGTAATTGTTTTTTTTTTTAAATATTGTTATTGATATACAACTAATGTAATATACAAGTTGAGATGTTGTGTCTTTATAAAATAATTGTTTAAATACACACAAACACACATTAATTTTCAAACTTGACAATTTTAGTACATAACTATTAGAAAAAATATATTTATAAATCATAATGCACCTTTTATTATTTAAAAAATTATAAATTACTTTTAATTCGCTTATTTAACAAGTGGTTCATTATGAATACATTTTTTTCTTATAATTTTGTACTATATTTATCATGTTTGAAAACGAATTAAATAATTTTAAATATGATTAAGTATACATTTAGTAGTAACATTTTTAAATATAATTAAGGTCAGATAGTCATTATTTAAAAACTATTTATTTCACTGTACGAATACTTAATTAATTAAGTAACTTACAATAACGTAGGTATGGAAAATGTGAAATCTTGAAAAATGAATTTTTTTGTAAATCAGTTTCTAAAGCCAAAATTTGTTAAAATAAAAAAAATTATTTATAAAGTTCATATAAAATAAAATTATTAGAGTTATTACTGTTGCTTTCTGCATATTTCTTTTTTTTTCAAAAAAATTACAAGGTGAGAAGAAGTATGTAAGATTTTATATGTAAGGCAAACTAGAACGTAACAATATTATAGTCTCAGAAGATTTTATACCAATAGTTGAATTTTGTTTTTCAAAACCTTGTTAATGGTTATAACGCTTAAATCGACATAGACTTTAAGATATTACGTTGTATTAGCCTAGACGTTTTTAATGAAAGGCTTCGACATTTTTTCAGCTTATACAATCCGTTTTCGATGAATTATTACATTTATTAGAAGAATCTTCTGATACGAAACTTTTTGTGAATCAGGTAAACGTGCTTTGGCATGACAATGGTAATACTATGAGAGCTAGTTTCACTGGACAAGAAATTGCACAAATGAATAAAGGTAATCATAAAATATATTAGCTCTATCGTGTAATAATAGTTTTCTTTGGTTTCGAGACATCATGTTTTGAAATTTTATGCATTTGGTTTTTAGGCAACTCTGCAACTACTGTTTACACTCTTATAACAACATAATTTGTAATTGTATTATAATTATTGTTCGTTTTGTATCGTTTTAGACCGCATAGATAAAAAAAAGTTTGAGGAAATCACCAGGAAAATATCCAAAAAACAAGAAAGTGACTATGTAGTTTTCATGAATGAGCGGTTGTTGTTTTTAAGAGCTCAAAATAAACCATATAGTAGAGCTGCAAAATTGTAAAAAAAAATGTTTTTTGTTTTTTAAATAAAAACGATATTATATGAAATATGTACTCTAGTTATTGTATCCGGTCCTTATTAGTCAAATTATTAAATTAAGAAAATGTTAAGAACTCAGTAGGAATTTAAATGTAACGAAAAGATTCTGAGTCTTGTATTTGTCTGTTGGTACAATCATAGTGAGCATTGGGTGACATGATTTAAAGTGAATATTTTTTATTGCATTTGCTTACACATTTCTTTCTCTACACCTACAGTTGTGACGAAAGCATTGCAATTTCAAAGGTTGCAAGGAGTTTTCATGGTGTAGTTGTTGATAGTGGTACAGTTGGATATTTGTATTAATTAAATATTGGATTTACAATCTAAACGTTTTGAAAATTAATAAAGTCTTTAAAGGGTTCTTTAAAAGATTAAGAACTAATAAAAATATTTTAATGAGAAAACCTTCAACACTACTATTATTTAAAAAATAAAGTGTTTTATATTTAATAATTAATCACTCAACAAGCGACTGAATTTTTATATATTATTGTGGCACAATTGATATTAAACGTCATCACTTTTTAAGTAGTATTTACAAACAATATTAAGGTTGTTATATTAACAATGATGTGTTTTTATTTTTGTGTCTGGACATAAACGGCCAAACCGTTTTTTTATGTATTAAGTTTATTCATCAGAATTCGTACCTAAAAGGTAGTTTATTAAGAGGGCGTCACACCACTTTTTTTCGGCGCGTAAAACATGTCTCAGGATATGCAACTTTCTGGGAAACCGAGTGGGTTTAGCGTATACTTGCTAATGAACAAAATTAAAGATTAGAAGTTTATCTACATATTAACATAGGTTTTTTTCGATTATGTTACTAGGAACCGAGTTATAGATCTTTGAAGTTTTCATTTTTCAATAGCGTATATCTTCGTTTTAAAACATTTTATCGAAAAAAACCTCTGTTAATATGTAGATAAACTTTTCATCTTTAATTTTGTTAATAGGCAAGTATGCGCTAAAACCACTCAGTTTCTCAGAAAATTGCATATCCTGAGACATGTTTTAGTCAAATTTTAGTAGTTATTAGTGCCAGTTTGTGGCGATCCTAGCGGCGACTTTAAAACACATGCGGTGTGACGCGGCGGCGGCAGTGGTGGTGAGGGCAGCTCCTAGCGGGTTGCAATTCACGTGAACACGAAGGCGGCGGCCGCCGACCACGACCAAAACCGGGTTTAGGCGGCAGGTAATAATATTACATATTTCCTCTTATCTACAATAGTTTTTTTATTATTTATATTGCATTTATCGATATCCGATATTATTTCTGTTACTTTATAATATACTAAAATACTGATTTTTAGCCCGGACCGGGTTAGGTGAGCTGTGCTGTGCTATCCGTACGCTGTACCTAACTTTGAACTACTGTAACTTTTAACCCGATATACCGATTTAATCGAGTGGCACATCAATCGATCAGTAATTAGATATAGTTGGTACATAGAGGGGTAAGATTTGGAAGAATCTACTCCTTTCCCCCCAAAAATGTTAAAACACAAAAAAAAAAAGACCGGGTAGGTGTTGACTGCGGCACTGCGTTATAACACTCGCTATTGCGCAAGCTCGCGCGCATGTCTCGGAATAGTATTTAAAATAGCTACTGTTTATTCAAATGTATGAAACAACAAACAGAATAGAAAATACAATATCCAACATAGTTTGAATCATTTTGATAGCTTTATTACTTTTGTTATAATAATGTATCATTGTTGGATAAACGTATTGGTACCTCTTTTTGATTATTTTGTTTTTTACACAGACTTGCTGTAATTTAGCTAAAAATAGTGAAATCGACTCAAATCTAGTGTGGTAATTTTATATGTATTATGATAGTAAATAACGATACATTAAAAGATCAAAAATATTTAATTTACAACTATAATAAAAAAGTATAATTTAAGTACATTTATACATATATATTATTGTGTAAAATATAAAATAGTTTCAATTATAATTGACACACAAAATAATTAAAACTTTTTTTACATTTATAGTAGGTATATAATAATATATATTGATATATAAATATAAAATAAAATACAATTAATTTTACGTTGTACATCATGACTTATTTTTCGCGCATAAAATTATCAGGTGCATAATTTAAAGGGTTATTAATGGTATCCAAAGGATCACGTCTACCTAATTCTATGACCTGAACATTTGAAACTGGCTTTTTATTTACAAAATATTTATAGTATATTATTATACATATTAAAACAAGGATTGTAATTATAAAAAAAATAGTCACAAAAGAAAAATCTAAGGCCTTATCAATTAAATATTTATATATATTATCATATAATTTTGTAGCTAATTTTCCTTCCTCATCTAACTCTAAATTTAATTTGTGTAAAGACTGTTCATTAATTTTTATATTTTTTAGAACTTCTAAGTGAACGGGTTTAGGAATTGTTTTATTTTTTATTTCTGAACAACATTTATCCTCTATCAGCGAAATCATTATAGGTAAGGATTTGTAATTAGAGGTATACGAACTAATTGGTTTTAAACTACTACTGGGTGTAGAGGCCATGCAGTTTTTTTCTAACCACAACTTGCCAGAATTTTCTATAATTATTTTTTTAATAAAACTATATTTTTTGCAAATAATTGTCAGTAGAGTAGGCTGACTACAAACGAAATACCAGTGGTTATTAAAATATGATGTATACCACGTCTCCGATGTAAATTCTGTAACATACATATTACAAGTCGACGGTATTTTATAATAATTATTAAGTAGGTCAATTTCACAATTTGGTTTATTCTGTCTATTGTACTCTATGTTGTCTGTTTCGCAAATAAAAAAATTATCTATTATTTTACAAACGCTTTTTATATCATTAATTTCTACATACGTATCTACTTTTATATCGGTCATTAAATATTTGTTATGCTGAACTAGATGGACAAATTGGTTGTTCTTATTGATAGGAATATATAGTGGTAAAATATGGTACATGGTGTAATTTTCGCTATTACATAAGGGTAATTTAATTTCAAATATTAACCTATCCAGAAATTATTAATCCACAATACGGGAAAAGGCTGCAAACAAAAGATATAAAAGATCCAAAACTCATAATGGATTGTATAAAAGAAAAAAAGGGAGGTAACACATAGTTATAAAAATAACATACATGTAAATAACATACATAAAATAACTACATGTTCATTTTGTAGCCTTCTACTTAGTAGTATATGTATTATACTTTTTTTTAGTTTTTTATAGGTACAATATTATATTTTATGTTATAATTACTAATACTAAATATTTCATAACTATATATATTATACTTATTATCATTTAAATCAAATTAAATTATTATTATATGTTTCTATGTTTGAGTATTTATACGAGTAACTATACAACTCAACATAAGTTGACGTTTTACATTACTAACAACTTCCCATGTATCCGGCTTCGCCCGGAATTATACATACAACTGCCACAAAGTACTCACAAATTATATTTAAACTATCCTCGTGAAACACTCCTTTTATCAGTAAATACTAGAATACAATTCGTTCAGTATTTACTGAAAAAATCGTGCACAGACACGGTAAACAAATTTGTTTTATAATATGTAGAGATTTAAAGTAGATAATAATTAAGTTCTTTTTGAAACTGGTCGACGTGTATTCGCATATAATAAGTAATAAGTAATAAGCAAGTACGAGGTATCAATACGTTTATTCTGATTTCTAAGAAAATTATTCATAGGTTATATTGTCATAACAACAAAAGTAATAAAGCTATCAAAGTTATTCAAACTATGATAGCTATTGTATTTTCTATTTTGTTCGATGTTACATACATTTTAATGAACAGTATTAAAAATAATACTCTAGTTTGTAACAAGCGGGCGAGCGCAATAGGGAGTGTTATATTATAGTGCCGCGTCAATGTCCAACGTGATAGAGCATACGTTGCGCGCGCATAATATTAGTTTTTACTAGAACGGCTGTCCGTAAAAGAATGATGTGCTACTCCGCACTGGCTGCAACGCTATATGCCGCCGCCGCCGCGCCGATATGGAAAATAACGCCATCTCTTGAGCGTTGGTTTCGTTTCACTTTTGCTTTGACGCCCTCTTAAGAAAAAAAAAAACTCAAGCCTTTCCTTTCAAAATTGGGGAAAACACAAATTGGGATCCTTTTTTTAAATATGGAATAACTAATAACAATGCGGTGTCAAGCTTTGCTCTGTCATTTTAGCTTCGATGCAGAGCGGCGAAGGTATTGGTTTTACTCTGATGTGGGTTTTTTTTTATCTGTATACACTGTAAATTTTTCAATACCGGACCAATTACAAACATGGTGTACCAGATGTGAGAAACAAACAGACGCTAATAACTGTCGGTTGGTAACATCGACCCGTGTTAGGTTAGGTTAGGACCCAACGGTCGGTATCATATAATATTGTGTTTACTAGTAGGGAGGTTGTAAACGCGTTGGTTCGGATGACCATTGAGTTTAGAGTGGAACCTTGTGGAACATAGTAGATTATGACAGTTTAGTGAACTGTTTTGGCGCTTAAGTCTGCACAATTATACTCGATTAATGCAAACGTGACTATTTATCTATTTATGTGCGGGTTGGCCATGAATTTCTTAAGACCTTGAATTTGTCGATTCGCATATTTCAATTTATGTGAACAGTGGAAATGGGAACGCACACCGAACAACCCAAGTGTTTTTTTATAGTAAAAAAGTTGTGTTTTTGAGTTAATGCTTAGGCGAGAATTCGATCAATACTACTTCCATAGAAAATCGTGTATAGAAATCTTTATTTACTTTTGAACTCGGTGTAATTTTTGAAAAACATGCACTAATGTGAGAAATTATACAAAATCCTCACTGTTTAACAATTATTAAAATAATTTATACAAATATGCAATGGACTTATTGGTTTGTGTTGGCATAAAATGGGGCCCCTAATTTGTTG